AGCTGAAAGTTCTCATTCATCATACTATACAACTTGCATGATTCCAAGTTTCGGTCCAATTGAACCTTGGGTGATGAGAATCTTTCCTTATTTGGTAATATTAGACACTACCACAACCGAAAGAATCAAATCCATTTTTCAATATTGCTATCAATGGAATCTTATAAGCAACAACTTTTCACAAATGCCATTGTAAGGATACTTAAAATAAATAAAATCAAAACCTTTTTCTTTTATTTTAAAACTTTGCGGAAAAACTTATCCTTACAATCCATATGAAAACCTTGTTGTTATCTATTCCTAAGCAATATAAATATCATAACTCTTAAGTAATAGCCCAAAATTCTGATCACCGAACTATGCGATTGAAATCCATCTTCGCGATCAGAATCAGCATGTACTTAATAGAGTTAGACAATGGACTTTACCTGAAGTAGAGCCAAACTTATTGACTTTACCATCCTTAGGTAAATTTGGCAGCTTCGTAACCAATGCCCCTTCCTTTGGCAATAGTTACCTATGGACCCTTGATAATGGGACTATCTCAGACTTCGCCTCTCTCTTTACCATTGGGTCAACCGAGTTGACTATGGCCGATCCCTTTCCATTGGGAAGAGAGAGCTTTACTGGATATCCAATGTCATCATTGTCAATGTCCATAGCGTTTTAGGAAGTTGATCTTAGCAAATAGATAAGATCATTAAGGGTCTTGTCTTAGTCTGTTTCATAGGATTCCCAAAAGAACTCACTATGTGACTTAGAAAGTAGTTGAGCCACCAACTTTCTCAAGACTTTGACACCCAACTCTCCCGGCTTGTCAATATGTGACTACATCTCCAAGATGTGATCACACCTAGACCTTGCCTTGCCAATAGGGCTTGAGTGACCTTAAACTTTTTAGGAACTTGTGGGTTAGGGAGAATAATTGGAGGAGGTGAAAGAAGTATGATATCCATGGGACATCATCTTCATTTAGGAAAACTTATTTCAAGAGATTTGGGAAGATCATAAATGTCTAGACCAGACATCTTTTTGGGAGATATTCAAGATAGTTGATTTAAAGTCCTTAATATGACACCCAATATGAAATATTAAGGCTAGGACCCAACAAACTATTTATAACTTAGAAGAGGGATACCGTAATCCAAGCTATAAAATATTTGAAGGTAGGTGAATGACGATTCACCAATTTCCACCATGAAAAACGAAATAATTTATTAGGTTTTAATTGGATTTGAAAGTCCTAGATCTTTGAGATTCATTGAACTGTTCAAAGGCATGTTTCAATCTCGAGTGTGCCCTTCAGGTTTTGTGACTGGGATGCCGAGGATCACAAAACAAGGTGTGAATAACCATGCAAATATACTTGGTACCCTTAATATTTACCCCTTAATCAGTGTGCCGGTTAACCACTCACGCTCCACCGATACTATGATAAATATTAAGTTACCCTTTGCCTACCTTGTTAAGTCCAGGTTAGTGTGCCGGTTAACCACACACGCTCCACTAACGACTTAAGCAAAGTGCAAAGTGTAATTTCATGGGTTAGCACCAAATTCACATTTTCCTAAGTAACTAAGATTGGGTATTAATAAGAGTTTAGTTACTTAGTATTTATCATTAATACTTTTAATGAAAGGAGAATTATAGTCCTTGTCCTACCCGTTCGGCTAACAACCCTCCACCAGTCAAGGAAGCGGTGGGTGAGAGTGGACACTCATTAAACTGCCATTTTATAGGCAGTAACCTTATACCCCCCTTATAGACCAACTTCGTGAATGAGGCCTACTAACGGTAAGACTGACTTTACTCTTATACATATATATAAATATTATTAACTTATAATATTATAAAGTATAAGGGTTGAATTTTAACTTTTAAAATTCTAAGGGCTAACTTGGAATTAAAGTATTCATAAGTGAAAACTTTTCAAATTCCAAAACTTGAGGGCAAGTTTTTGAAACTATTCAAAACTAATTAATTCCATAACTTATGAGTTTAAAGTAGTTTTAATTAAAAAAAACTCTTCAAGTTCCATAACTTGAGGACAAGTTATGGAAGACTTTAAACTAATTAATAAAAAAAAAAAACTTTTTTTTATTGTAACTTATGGAACTAATTAAGGTTACACTTTTTTTTTAATTTAATAAAGAGACTCTTGAACCTCCATAACTTGAGGACAAGTTATGGAGTCATAAAACCATTTAATTAGAACTAGACTCTTCATTTTGTAACCTTTGCCAACTTTTATGAGTTTTATGATTCTTAAATGTGACTTTTCATATAACTTGAGGACAAGTTACAAAAACACACTTTGGAATCAACTCTTAGATTAAAATGGATTGAAAACAACTATTTCACACAACTTTTCTATTAATCTAAGAACCTCATAAGAACAAGATAATTCAAATCATCAATCTTCAAGAAATTAGCATGAACATACAAACTAATACAAATCTTGAAATTATGACAATTATCTTAGAAATTGGATTAGCATGAACATTACCACATCAAAAACAAGTTTACAAAAACATCTTAGGGTAATGTTCCTAGTCCAATTCCAGCCAAAACAATCGAATATATGCATCCAACTCGATTTTTCAGCTACTTTTGCAAGTATAACAAGAAAAAAAACCAGGCTCTGATACCACTGTTGGGTTATGAGCATTCTAACACTCCTAAGTGTACATGCAACCCTAAATACCTTGGATCTATGTTTTCTCTATTATACATACAATTATGAACATCCAAGGTATTATCCTAATCTAGCATACAAAATAATAAATATAACAAGATAGAATGCATACCTCTTTGATGTAGAATGTCTTCATGAAGCTTGAGTGCCTAGTGCCCCAAGTGTGACACCTCAAAAATGGTTCACACAACACCAAATACACTTGGAATAACTTGAGAGAAACTTGAAAACTCCTTGAAATCGTCTAGCCCTCACACTCACACATTAGTGCACGATTTCTTGAGCCATGGGATTCTTTTATATGGTGGCTATTAGGGTTACACCATGTAACTCATAACTTTACCCATTCCTTATGCTCCATGGATTTTAACCTCCATGGAGTATCCATGGGTCACCCCATGGACTTAGTCCAACATAAGGAATCTTGGATCACAAGCCCACATATATAAGAATGAATGATTTACACAATCGACCCATATATTGAATTAGTCTCCTTTTGATCACTTAATTAATTCCAAATTAATTCTTGATCAATACTAATTAAATAACCTTATTAATATATTAGAACTTATAATATATTAACCAACCTTAAGTGTTATTTCTCTCATTATAGTCTATCCAAATGGATGATGCCATGCAACCCAAATGGACCATGCCGGGTCGGGTCAAGTCTTACCAATTATAGTTATGGACTTAGACATTAATCCAACAATAGGTACTCTTTCAACCTAGTAGGAACCCTCAAATGATCCGGATAAGGTTTTAGGCAAAGATCATGAACTACCCAAACCCTCTACACGTAACCTCGCAATGTCATTTATACCTTAAGTAAAGCATGTAATTCATACAATAGAAGTGTGTATTTAAACATGCAATATATTCATAATCAACACATCAAATCACTTTCATACATCATTCTTTCAAGCAACTTAAACTATCATGTCATATACATCAAGTTCATCAAAGTGTAAGAAACATAGCAATTAGGTCATAACATGACATTAGCACAAAACATATATTAGCATCACAAATATCATATCATCATCAAGCACAAGTAATGACATGGCCATCCTAAAGTGAATAAGATCACCATCTACAGATTGCACGTTTCAATCATGCAACCTTAGTGAGTTAAAACTATGAACTCACCTTTAGCCTTGATGAAATCTTCCTTCTATTCCAAGCCTTAAACTTACTTGAAGTTCTAAAGGCTCCACCTAAACACCACACATAACATTCAATTAACAAATAAAGTATATGTTTCAAAAATACAACTTTATTCTAACTTTTATATTAATTTTTATATTTTCCCTGCCCGACCCCCGCTCAGTGTTTTAGTCATAAAACCTAATCTACAGCTCCAATTGGAATGAAATCAGACATTATGGAAACTAGACTCGATTGCCTAGAACTTCATGAGAGAGGAGCATCTTCCAATTCTGCCCAGATTAGCAGCTATAGCTCTCGCAAGATGGGGAAAAGTTGCTGTGCAGAATTCTAACATTCACCAAAAATCACTATATGATTCAAGACTTTAGGTAAATGATTATAGTTGCTCAATTTTACACACAATATGATTGAATGATAGTATTAAGACATAAATTGTGTACTTTATGAGAATATCAAACAGATGACACAAAAATGTTGAGTAGAATGCCTAAACATGTAAACGAACATTTAGAACAAAGTTCCAGATTTTGACCCGTAACAGCCACTTGTTGAAAGCCATTTTAACACAACCAATGACTGAAAATTATACAATATTTTTGTATATTCCAGTAGTTTATACTTTTAGCTTTTCAGAAAGTACTCTTAAAAGTCCAAACGATTTTTCTACAATTTTGTATGATTGTTACAAAACAGTCTATCGGTACAGCTAATTTCCGACCAGTCAGTGAAAAGGGCGATTTTCACCTAAGTTGGAGGCAACAACCTATGATGCATGGAAACGCCATCCAGGGTGCCGTACCCGTATCCGATACTTGGAGGAAACGGAAACGCATAGGAAACGGCCAGGAAACGTTTCCTGGACGTATTGGCGAAACACGAAACATATCAGGTAAGTTTCCAAGAAGTTTCCGATTTTTTTTGCATGGGCTTTCTAGTCCAAATAAGCTAATGGATAATTGGGCTATCGAAATTACCCTACAACTATCAATATTACCGATCGGTGCCTCCCTAATTCGTTGGTTAATTTTAATTTACTATCCTTTAGACGTTTACCTTTACTGCTTGGCTGCTTGCGGCTTGCTGCACTTACTGTCGACGATCACCTTGGTGACTGAGAAATCAGAAATCGATTATTATGGCTTCTAGTTCTCAAGAACAAGAAACACAAGGATCAAGTACATCAATAGACCAACCTCCGTTGTGGGACTATGTGACTAAACTTGAAAAACTTGCTGGAGCAGGGGGATATTGGAAGTTCAAGTGTAATCTTTGCAGTGAAACCCGACAAGGATCATATTCTAGAGTTAGAGCACATTTGCTTGGTATAAAAGGTAATATACTTTTCAATTTAGAGTGTGTGTCTATGTAATTTTAAATTTTTTATTCATGTTATGTTGTTATTGAATTATTGTATTTATTCATGAACAATTGTAAAGAAATAAGAGGTTGCAAATTTGTTTTGATTCATGTATTTGTTGCGATTTTTGATTCATGTTATTGTATTGAACTAATGAATCATGAACATTTGTAAAGAAATAAGAGGCTGTGATTTTTTTTTTGATTCACTTTCTTGTTTTGATTAATGTAATTGAATTGATAAATGATAATGTCAATGATGAACTTATTTTTTTCATGTCATTGAATTGAGAATGTCAATTGCCAATGTTATTGTGTGTGTTCTTGAAATCATGATTTTTGATCTTAGGATGTGGGATTTCTATATGCAAGAAATCAACAGCGGCAGACAAACTTAACATGAACTAATTAGAAGATGCATATGAAAAGAAGAAAACCGAGTCACAAGCGAAAGAAGTTCAATTGCCATGTGAAGCTGGTGTTGGATTTAAGAAAAGAAAAGGTATTTCAACACCTATTGAAAGAGCTTTTGGTGTTGAAATTAGGGACCAACTAGATCAAGAAATAGCTAGAATATTTTATACCGGAGGTTTACCTTTTAATCTTGCAAGAAATCCACACTATGTCAGGGCTTTTCAGTTTGCTGCTAACAACAAAATTGATGGTTATGTACCTCCTGGTTATAATAAGCTAAGAACAACATTACTACAAAAAGAAAAAGATAATGTTCACAAGCTATTGGAGCCACTTAGGTCTACATGGAAAGAAAAAGGTGTGACTATTGTGAGTGATGGCTGGAGTGATCCAACAAGAAAACCTCTAATCAATTTCATGGCTACTTCAGGTAATGGTCCTTTGTTTCTAAAGGCAGTGAATTGTTTTGGGGAAGTGAAAGATAGATTTTTTATTGCTGAGTTGATGAAAGAAGTCATCAATGAAATTGGTCATGAAAATGTTGTGCAAATTATTACTGACAATGCAGCAAACTGTAAGGCGGCTGGAGAGATTATAGAGAGTCAGTTTCCTCATATCTATTGGACACCATGTGTTGTTCATACGCTTCATCTTGCTTTGAAGAACACTTGTTCACCAAGGAATGTGGAAGCAAATGAACTAACATATGAACAGTGCAGCTGGATAAAAGAAGTTCACGAAGAGGCGTTTGTAATAAAAAATTTCATCATGAACCATAACATGAGACTCTCGATTTTCACCAAGTTTACTCTTCTTAGGCTGCTTTCTGTTGCTGACACTCGCTTTGCCTCCATCATTGTGATGCTTAAGAGATTGAAACTTATCAAAAGGGGTCTTCAAGCTATGGTCATAAGCGAAGAATGGTATTCTTATAGATTAGATGACACTGAGAAAGCAAACTCTGTGAAATAATATATTTTGAGTGATGATTGGTGGGACAAAGTAGCATATATTCTTAGTTTCACTGGACCTATATATGAGATGATTAGAGTTTGTGACAATGACAAGCCATGTTTGCACTTGGTGTATGAGATGTGGGATTCTATGATTGAGAAAGTAAAGATTGAGATCTACAAGAAAGAAAAACGTCCGACATCTCAAATAAGTTGTTTTTATGACGTCGTGCATCGTAGTTTAGTGGCTCGATGGGCGAAGAATAACACTCCCCTACATTGTTTAGCTCACTCTTTACATCTAAGGTATAAGATTTTAAATTATACACTTGATTTCTATTATATATTTATGGTTTAACCTTTGGATGTTGTAGATATTATGGTGATGCATGGTTAATGGAGGATTCTACAAGATGTGCTACACATAGGGATGGAGAAATTTCACAAGAAAGGATGAAGTGTTTTCGAAGGTTGTTTCCTAATGATGATGAGTATAGCAGAGTCCTTGATGAGTATGCAATGTTTTCAATGAAGAATGGTCCTTTTGAAGATTTAACAAGCATTTCAAAGATGGCTACTATGGAACCCAAGAATTGGTGGGTTAACTTTGGTGCTCAAACTCCTTTTCTCCAAACTTTGGCTTTTAGATTACTTGGACAACCTAGTTCTTCTTCTTATGCTGAGCGTAATTGGAGTACTTATGCATTTATTCACTCGCTTAAAAGGAACAAGTTGACTACAAGTCGTGCTCAAGACTTGGTTTACATCCACAATAATCTCCGACTTTTGTCAAGGATTCCGAAAGATAATGTAAAGATGTGGGATGTGGGTGGAGATGCTTTTGATTCAATGGAAGATGTCGGGTTTTTGGAGGTTGCAGATCTCTCACTAGATGAATCGGATTTTGAAAATGATTTGATTATTGACAATTAGTTACTTTTGAAATATTTAGTATTTTTGGAGTTTAAACTTTACATATTTTGGAATTTTTTTAATATATATATATATATATATATATATATATATATATATATATATATATATATATATATATATGTTTTTTCATATTTTTATATTGCCGTATCTGTGCCGTATCCGTATCTTGAATTTATGAGTTTTGCCGTTTCCCGTATCCGTTCCGTATCCATTTCCCGTTGCCATATCCGTTTCCGTGCAACCTAGGCAAAAACAGGTCTTGGAAAAATTCATGGACAAACTAGACTCGAATTTAAAACTTTGAGAATTTACGGATCATTAATCCAACTTCTAATGATTTTTCTAGATTTTTTTGAAAACAGGGACAGATTGGTAATTTTGCTGAATTTTCCAGCTTTGAATTTCAAGGACTTTTTGACCACTTAACCTATTAAGCCACAACCAAAATCAACTATAAAGTTGTAAATCGAGTTCTTAACAGTAGCAACATGTCAAGAAGTTAAAATAACAATTTCAACCTCAAGTCATGATTCAAAGTACAATGCTTATATGAGAAAAATAAGGTACTTTGCTAAAAGAGAAAACACCACTAGGGCTTGAGTTTTCTCCACCATTAAGCCTCACATTAAGACCTTTTAGGGACTCTTTTGAGGACCTTTTGGATGGTTCAAAACAAGGTCTTAGATGAAGGAAATTAATCACACGAATCTAAAAGAATGAAGATAACAAAAACATGAACTTGAAGAAGGAAATCATTCAAGGTGTTTATAAGAAATTTTGACAGCAATTAAGCCATCAAAAACACCCTACACCAATGGAATTAAACCATATGAACTTTCAAAGGTTGCTAGGAAGAAGAAGATGAGATTGTAATTATCAATTAGGAAGAGGATTAACAAAAACAATCTTCAATTGACGAAGAGTTTGATGTATGAACACAAGGAAAGAGATTAGAAGAGAAATATTTTTTTTACCATAATTATCCAAGAATCGCAGCCCTTCTTCCCTGTAGGATCGATCAAGCAAATCCTTCTCTCTTCTTCCTCCTTGATCGGCTCGACTTTTCTTCCCCTCCAAGCCTCTCACGTTTTTTGTTCTTTTCTTCTTGGCCTTCAACCGACGACGCACACAATGAAGGAAGAAGTAGTGATCGTTTTTTTCTTCTTCTTATGTATTCACGTGAATGGATGGACACAAGGAAAAGGATCGATCCTTCTCCTTGGGGGTTACTCCAAATTTTTGCCATATAGCCCCTTAATTCTCCATATTATACCCCTTTTACACTTACCCTAGTATTCTTGACAAATTAGATTTCTATAAATGACACCTTAGCCCCTCAACTCATAATAAACCCTAAAATGAATTATTTTTACCCTAATAATTCCATAAATCAGTTTCATTAATTTACACATTTTTTAATTATGATTAATTCTTTTTGATATTAAATAATACTATTTTTAGTTAATTTATTCCCTTTTAACCTCATAAAACTAAAATATTTTGCATAAATAGTTCTTTGAGTAACGGAACAACTAACGTCGTTTACGATAGGATTTTCGAGTCGTTACAGTTCAGCATTTTCTTATTAAAGGGTTGGTCATTGCTTCCAGGCTAACTGCGTACAATAGTGCAAAGAGACTAGCACTTAGCCTAACCATTCAAGAAATTATGCAGGGCACTATGGTTCAGAAGGATGACCTTCCAAAATCTTAAAGCAGTAAGAGAAAATCTAATGGTGATTCGGAGCAACCAACATGGAAGAGACAAGACTCAGGGAAAATTCACGTCACAAATACCCCATCAACTACTCCACCAAGACAATACGCTGGAGATCTACCACTATGCAATAAGTGCCAATACCACCATGTAGGAGAGTGTAGAGAACTAATTTGTAAGAACTGCAGTAAAGAGGGCCACACTGCCAAGTCCTGTAGGAGCCCGACATGTGCCACAAACCAAAAGACTGGTACCGGTGGCAATCACAACTGTTATGAATGGGGAAAGTCTGGCCACTTCAAAAGAGACTTCCTAAAGAAGAGAAATCGAGGAGGTAATGCTCAAGGAAGAGCATTTTACATTGGCACGAGAGACGCTACCCAAGAAAACGGTACGTCCTTACTAATAACTTGCGTACAAACTAAATACGAATAAGCTTTGTAATCACTAGACTCAAGCACTCGCTAAGACATAAATCTGATAAAAACTAGGAAAAGCCTTAGGAAATCAAATCACTTTCTATAGGTCTACGTTGTACCGTTGTTCCATACTACCTAAGAGTATGCTTCAAAATTCATGTTTCCCTAAGATTCTCCCAAAATAATGCCCCTACGTCAGACACTACAAGTTGAATTTCAGGTAGAAAATTCCTTTAATAGAGGGAGAATGTGACAATTCCGAAAATTGTCACCGATTATTAGCGTGACAAACGCAATAGACTAAATCTTAGTCAATCTAGCTAGGATGTCAATATGAGATTTCACATTCCGTTATCAGCTAAATCGTCCATAATTTATAAAAATAAGTGCGTGAAAAAATTATGTTATTTTGTATAAATAATAACATATTCTGAAAATACGCGACTTTCCGATCTCGGAAATATAAAATTTATAAAAATCCGACTTCATATAAATAAATTATAATTTTTATACATTATAAAGATCCGACTTTGTATAAACGTAATAGACTAGATGATCCATTTAATTTTTACGAAAATAATAAGATGTGACATTTTTTGTAATTAAACGTTGAATATCCAAATAAAAATAAGAAATGTCTTTGCCGTTTTTTTCCTTAACATCCATAACTTATTGAATAAGCAACTTATTGAATAAGTAATTTAAAGAATATTGACGATACGAAGCGGTCCAAGTCGTCCGCAACTAAATTTTCCAGTGACGGTCTTTATCACCTCACTAATATTTTACCAAATTCAGAATAAGAAGCAGATTTTTGTAATGATGTTTATATTTTCATATCGATATCGATGTATGTAATCGAGCGTTAACATTAATTAAACATGTTTTTGTTATTAAAACATGAAACACATCATATAAATGGGTAAAAATAAGATAAAAATTAGAAAAATGCATATTAAACTCAGTAAAAAAAATTCCTAAATAAATTGATAACAAGAGTAATTGTATTTACAAAATAAATGAAAAATCATGATGAAAAATACTATAGTCGATGTCTATTATTTTCTCAATTCTCAATATTCAAAGCATATCGACGCAATTATTAAAAAGATAAGAAAGACGAATATGTCCAAGTCGGTCACAATTGTAATTTCCATTGTTGGCTGCGCCGTGTTGACTCAGCTCGTGTCCCACTATGAGCATTATCGTTCACCACCAGGCACAAGCCACTTCTATTTAAACCCTGAAACCCAACCTCGTATACAACCTAACCCTATCTTCAAAAATGGCCACCAAGATCTCATTCTTCCTCTCGTCCCTTGCAATCTTAGCAGCTCTGCAACTGTCATCAGCAGTCGACTACTCCGTCACAAACCGGGCAGCAGCCACCCCCGGCGGTGTTAAGTTCAATAACGTCATTGGAGCGGCATACACCACTCAAACTCTCCGTTCCGCCACAAGCTTCATATGGACCACATTCCAACAAAATACTGCTGCTGACAAAAAGAACGTAGCACGAGTAAACGTGTTCATTGATGACATGGATGGTGTTGCCTACACTTCTGGCAATGAGATCCATGTCAGCGCGAGGTACATTCAGGGTTATTCCGGTGATGTCAAGAAAGAGATTACCGGAGTACTCTACCACGAGATGACTCATGTATGGCAATGGAATGGAAACGGTCAAGCTCCGGGAGGATTGATAGAGGGAATTGCGGATTACGTGAGGCTGAAGGCTGGGTATGCTCCTAGCCATTGGGTTCAGCCACGGCAAGGTAACAAATGGGACCAAGGGTACGATGTGACAGCTCGGTTTCTAGACTATTGTAATGGTCGGAGAAGTGGGTTCGTGGCTGATCTCAATAAGAAGATGAGGAACGGCTATAACGACGGTTATTTCGTGGACTTGCTAGGGAAGACGGTTGCTCAACTGTGGGCTGAATACAAAGCTTAAGGGTGCAAGCATAGAGCACCATAATATATAAACTTAAAAAATAGAATTACCAAACTTCTATGCATTGTATTTTAACAAATAATTATGATAAACATTGATGCATACAAAGTTGAATAAAAATAAAAAGGTATTATTCCTATATACACGCTCTATTCACTTGTAACCTATTCAAACAAATGATTACTTATTCCCTAAGTCATGAACAGTATGACTTTAAAGTTTATTTTAAAAGCTTAATACATGCACTTAATGCATGCACAAGAGGAGTCACAACATGAAATGGTTGCATGATAATCTTTACTTTTTAGGCTGCATACCACCTCAATTGAGATCCATTTCCAGTTGGAATGTAGAAATCTATATATAATTGTGCAACATTGATCCCTATGGTATCTTAAAAATTGTACTATGAGTCCAACTTTTTCTTTCGTGCATAATAGGTCCAAAATGAAACATATCGTGTAGATTTGGTCCCTCAAATTAGTTGTCGTCTAAAGCAACCTGTTAAGTCTCATGTGTCTTTAAAAATGAGGGGTATTTTCGTCTTTACATGTCTTTACACAACAATTAAATAAACCTGCCCCTCCTCTCTCTCTCTCTCTCTCTCTTACAGTTTGATTCTTGCTCATTTGATTTTAACAACTAGAAGATACCACCACCACCAACAATCAACACCAACACCACCACCACCAGACCAGTCAATGTCGTTACTGCCCTCATTGTTGGAATGCTCCTCTCCTCGCTGGAATGCCGCCTCCTTGCTAGAAAGTCGCATCCTCGCTATAAGGAGAGCCCCTCTATCAAATCTAAGGGTTTTCTGACGGAGTTCAATGTAACATCCCAAAATTCATAGCCAAAAATTTCATTTTTAATTAAGTATAAAACCAATAGTCTGAAACATCCATAGTGTTAACTCATTGTCTAATCAAAAACCAGTATTTCAAATAACTAAAGCATGTCATAGAAAAGTATTATCAGAGTACAACTCCCAAAGATCTCATAATGCGGAAATCATAGTGTGATGCGCTGCGATCCTACCGAGTCCTTTCCTTTTGAAAAAGAAGTACTTGAAACCAAAACTGAAAACCGTAAGCACGAAGCTTAGTGAGTTCCCCCCATCATACCACATAATCACATACTACCAGGCATATCTAGGTGCCCGGCCTACCCTGTCATGCATATCTGGGTGCCCGACCTACCCTGCCAGCCGTTTCTGAAAAACCCAAAGAAAGTAACAACAAAAAGAAGTTTTGGAACAAACGAAAGGGGCAATCGTCACAAGAGCCCTCAAAGAAGCAACAAACAGTGGCAGTTCATGCTGCTATTTTTCCTGCTTCTATTCCTACCACTGTATCTATTACTCCAGCACACCCAAGTCGATATGTTGGGACTTTGCCAAAGTGCAATAAGTGCAACTTCCATCATACAGGAGTTTTCAAGGAAATTCACTGCATAAACTACAACAGGAAGGAACACACTGCCCGTTTTTGTAAAGGGCCAGCACAACCCATCTCTCAAGTCCCCGCCGCGGGAGTAAGTCAAGCTTGTTATGAGTCTGGCGAAATTGGGCACTTCAAGCGAGACTGAACAAAGACACGGAATGCTGGCGAAATCTGCCAAGTAACGAATCCCTCGTTATCTATGGCGACTAAACCAATACGAACCTTCAAATAATTTATTGTTTCAAGGCCCATAAGTATCTTTGCAAAGATTATTGTGCCTTCTTAGCTCACGTAGTTGATAAAACACAAGAAGTGAAAAACATCAAGGATATTCCTGAAGTCTATGATTTCCCTGATGTATTCCCCAAAGATCTCTCATGAGTTCCTCCTGAACGCCAAGTCGAATTCCGAATCGACTTGATTCCCGAAGCTACCCCCGTAACCAAATCCCCGTATCGTTTTGAACCATCAGAGATGCAGGAACTATCCAACCAATTGAACGAGCTTCTAAGCAAAGGATTCATAAGACCAAGCTTCTCACCCTGGGGAGCATCGATCTTGTTCGTGAAAAAGAAGGATGGATCGTTCCGAATGTGCATAGACTACCGGAAATTGAATAAACTCACTGTCAAAAACCGATACCCTTTACCACGAATAGACGACCTCTTCGATTAACTTCAAGGGGCAAGTTTCTTCTCCAAGATTGAATTGAGATCAGGATACCATCAGCTATGAGTCCAGGAGGCCGATATTCCAAAGACCGCTTTTAGAACTCGCTACGGTCACTGTGAATTTGTAGTGATTCCCTTTGGTTTAACAAACGCACCCGCAATGTTTATGGGCCTGATGAACCGTGTGTGTCGGCCTTACTTAGACAAGTTTGTTATAGTTTTCATCGATGATATACTAGTCTATTCCCGAAGTAAGGAAGAACACAACCAACAATTATGACAAGTCTTGGAAACCTTAAGGGCAGAGAAATTGTATGCGAAGTTCTCGAAGTGCGAATTTTGGATTCGAAAGGTGGACTTCCTAGGTCATGCAGTCAGCAATGAAGGGATACATGTCGATCCCTCCAAGATCAAAGCTATTGAAAACTGGGCGACCCCATGAACCCCAACAGAAATTCGTCAAATTCTAGGTCTCCCTGGATATTACAGAAGGTTCATCCAAAACTTCTCTAAAATCGCAAAACCCCTCACCACTCTGACACAGAAGGGTGTAACCTTCAGCTGGGAGGAGAAACAAGAAACTGCTTTCAAGACACTAAAGCGAGCCCTATGCAGCGCACCGATATTTTCCCTCCCAGAAGGGACGAAAGATTTTGTAGTTTACCGCGATGCGTCCAAGGGCTAGGCTGCGTTCTTATGCAGCTAAGAGATGTCATATCCTACGCCTCAAGACAGCTTAAGAACCACGAGGTCAACTATACTACAAACGACCTTGAACTAGGAGCAGTGATTTTTGCTCTGAAGATCTGGAATCATTACCTTTATGGTACGAAATACACAGTCTTTACAGACCAAAAAAGCCTCCAACACATATTTGATCAGAAAAAACTAAACATGAGACAGTGACGATGGGTGGAACTACTCAATGATTACGAATGTGAGATTCACTATCATCCCGACAAACCCAATGTAGTAGCAGATGCCCTTAGTCAAAAAGAATACTCGGGCCACCGAGTAAAGGTCTCTAACTATGACAATCCATTCATACCTATCCGCTCAGATCAAAGAGGCTCAGCTGGAAGCCTTGAAACCCGAGAACATGACAGGTGAAGCCTTAAAAGGAATGGAAAAGAACTTGGAAATCAAGGGTGACGGAGTTCGTCATCTCATGAATCGGATCTGGACACCGAAATTTGGTGGTTACAGAGATGTTGTCATGAACGAAGCCCACAAAACTCGATACTCCGTTCATCCAGGTTCAGACAAGATGTATCTGGACCTCAAGAAACTCTATTGGTGGCCGAAAATGAAAGCTGAAATTGCTACCTATGTGGGCAAGTGCCTAACTTGCACCAAAGTCAAGGTAGAATACCAGAAGCCTTCGGGTTTACTATAACAACCAGAAATACCCAAATGTAAGTGGGAGTGGATAACTATGGATTTCATAACCAAGTTACGTAGGACAACGGGTGGTCATGACACCATTTGGGTGATCGTCGACAAATTAACCAAATCCGCACACTTCCTGCCAATAAAAGAAACTGGCAAAATGGAGAAGTTAACAAGGACGTACATTCAAGAGATAGTACGATTGCATGGCGTGCCAATATCCATTATTTCTGAACGATATAGTAGATTTACCTCGCGGTTTTGGAAATCATTGCAAAAGTCGTTGGGAACCAAACTTGACATGAGTACAGCGTACCATCCTCAGACTGGTGGGAAAAACGAAAGAACCATACAAACGCTGGAAGACATGTTGAGAGCTTGTGTGATAGATTCTGGTAAAGCTTGGGATGCCCATTTACCACTCGTTGAATTTTCGTACAACAATAGCTATCACACTAGTATCAAAGTTGCTCCCTTTGAAACCCTCTATGGCCGAAAATGCAGATCTCCTCTGTGCTGGGATGAAGAGGGTGATACACAACTGGCAAAGACACAAGTACCCAACAACACTCTAACCGGTCCCGAGATCATTCGAGAAACAACAGAAAATATCGTCCAAATCCAGGAATGACTAAAAGCTTCTAGAGACAGACAAAAGAGTTATGCGGACAAACGGCAAAAACCCTTGGAATTCCAGGTTGGTGACCGCGTCCTATGATAGGTCTCACCCTGGAAAGGAATGATACGTTTCAGCAAACATCGAAAACTAAATCCAAGGTACATCGGACCATTCGAGATTCTTGCTAGAATTGGTCTGGTTGCTTATAAACTCAATCTACCACATGAACTCAGTAACATTCATCCCACTTTTCACGTATCTAATCTCAAGAAGTGTCTGCCTGACGAAACTCTTGTAATTCCACTCGACGAAATCGAGTTAAACGAGAGTCTATACTTCGTAGAAGAACCAGTGGAAATCATGCATAGGGAAATAAAAAGAACAAAACAAAGCCGTATACCAATAGTGAAGGTTCGCTGGAATGCCAAGAGGGGACCTGAATTCACTTGGGAACGGGAAGATCGGATGAAATAGAAGTATCCACATCTTTTCCCTAGTTCATGAGTACCACTTTAGAAACAATTTCGGGACGAAATTCCCTCTAACGAGGGGATAATTTATTAACCCTATATTTCAAGTCAATGTAATAGTCTAGGTCAACCATTGTAACTAGTTTTAAAGTAATAAAGAGAAATTATTTGAATATTCTGTGCATTATATTTATTTATAAATTAAGATGAAAATAAGCGTCAAAAATAAAATGTTAGATAAATCCGATATCTATGAAGAAACTTGTAGTGGTCGTGACAAGGATTCCGGAGATATAAAGAACGCTGGAATCCGAGTTATAACAAAGAAGTTATGACATATCAAATTTCGCGACGGAACCGGCACGACGTCGTGTGATGTAAAAAGTGAATTTACGATAAAATGCTTTTT